CTAAAGAAAGTAATTTATTATATTTGGTACATTTATTTACGTAAATAACATATAATGTAATACTACATACTCGTAAAATACCTTAGCAGTAAGTAAGCAATACATTATTAATAAATACTGAATGTTTCAGATTAATTTTTCAGATGTCTTTTACTTCAACATTTAATCTAATTATTACACAACACTCTTTACACATAATATAGGTATATAACTAAAAATAATTCCACACAGCCTATCTCAAACCGGGCCGTAAATGTCTTAGTCAGGATAATATTTTACGACGACTTACAGCGCGGGAGGCGGACGCGGGGTAAGATCCAGCCCTTATCTCTCCATATAACCTACACATGTGCACTGACAACCAAATTTATTGACTTCCAAATATCCTCTCAGATTAAACTCAAGATAGGTCCGACTGTTCGGCCCGTTCATAATAAAATATTATTTTTAAATACAAAAGTCCATTTTTTTGACATATTTTTCGAGTAATTTATACACGTATAGATTTCACTTTATTTATTCGAATCGGTGATATGTGATCAATTTTTTGTTTTTTTTTTTAAGGGTTTATATATATTTACCATCTATAGGTACGAATGATAACAAAAAATAGGTACTCATTATCCAATATGTATTATTTGGTATTTTAGGTATCTACTAGTAGCATTGGTGACATGCAGCATTTTTGCATAAAATTTATAGGTTCTTAGGTTTACGTATTGAATAATGAACTATTTCTCTATCAGAAACTATTTGATATTAGAGAACTACTTTACTATGATATTTAGTCCACTTCTCCTTTATTAATTAGTAGGTTCCCTAGATAAATATTGCAGTATGAATTCTTGAAAATTAATATATAAAATTTAAAAGCTTTGAATTTCATAGGAACATTTTAATAACATTTTTTTAGAAGTTTAAAATATATATTTATGTAGGTATAAAGCTCAAGTAAAGTGGGAGTGCAAAGTATCTAAATATATAACTGCAAATAAAATATTACAAGAAATATATGTAAACAATGACTAATAACATTACTCAATTCAAGCTACACATATGTTTGAACAAGAAGTTCATGACAGTAGAACAATCTTAGTACACGTATATTTCTTTAAAAACTGTGAAAAGTAACATTAGACGCAAAACACGTCTTCACGTATTAACGAGAAACGACTGGGACAACAACGACGCAATCCAGATAGATTGTGATTAGAATAGTAAAATTTGTAAAATAGAAAATTAGATCATCGATATGTAAATATTTGTATAAACATATTTTACAATACAACCTATACCTAATAAGAAGACACCCTAACATGAAATTATAAATTGATAATAGGTTAGTCTTCAAGAGTACATACCTGGATATCAAGTCTTGTAACTATACGACTATCCTATTAAGATTGTGTACCACAAAAAAAAAAAGCAGACCACTTATGACAAAACCAATTATTTGCATTTAAAAACTAAACTACTTATTGGACCAATTATGATAAAATTTCTAAGGGACCAATCTCTAAGTATATCCTTTTAAATAAAAAAAGAATTTACTAAATCAATTTACAACTGACGGTACAGTAGTATTTGGGAACAAACGTAAAAAAATACAAACCAATTTACAACCTTCTTTTTTTCAAATCGGTTGAAAATAAAATTTTATGACGATATTTAACAAATATAAAAAAAATATATTTTAATTTAGAATGCGGAGTCGTTTGTTTATAAGATAAAGTTTACTTCACAATAAGCCGTTTTTACTTTCCAAAGAAAGACGGCTAGGCATGGGTGATATTGATACTGTTCCAATATCCATATATTGGGTTCTTTTGGATATTGTTGGCGGAAAAAAGTCATCACCCGTTTCGATACCGCGCGTACCAATCGCACATCGATATTAATGCCAATCGAGTTATTAATTTCGTTATTAAAAGTTGAATAACAGACATTTAACATAATATTCGTTATTGGTATATATATTATATATAGATATTATAATTAAAATATATAGATATTGTTATATTACTTAGTCTTAAAGACGACTTAAATCGTCACACAATTTATACAGAGGGCCTACCTTGAAATATTTTCCGAAATTTCGGGGACGAACGAAACAGAATTTTGATGTTAAAATTATATAATACATGCCGTTTAAAATTATTAAACATGTTAAAATATCGTTCCCCTGAACTATTAAGATAGGATTTATGATGAACGAAATGTTAAATTCCATTTACTGGGTCGATATCGGTACGAACAAAAACACGAAATTGAGCCCGAAAATTCGGAATTTCATTTCATAGTAGACCACCTGGACTAGCGTTTTGTCCGCTTCTTCGTACGCATGGATTTTAGAAATAAAAAACGCATTAAAATTAACTACTTCTAAATGGCGTATCAAAATAAAATATATACCAGATTATAAATTAGACCTTCAGCAACACAACTGCTTAAACCGTTTCCAATTTGGTGCAGTAGTATTTGCGGGATGCCAGAACTAATATACAGAAAGATAATTTTTTTTTAAATTATAGTTTTGGCTTCTATTGCTCTTATTAAGACCTTTATTTTTCTTCAATATTTAATATGCACAAACATCGTCTAGTTACAATTTTATTATATTAGTGAGATTAGTAGAATAAACAAAGGAATAATCTCTAACTATTGTTTGCTAAATAAATGATAAAAAATGTTTAAATTGGTAATATAATTGATGAAATCTTCATCAATTATATTGCTTGAATGAAATTGTACCTTTGTCAGTTTTGACTGGTTAATGTGTGGGACGGCTGGTTTGTGTATTTCTTGAGCGATGATGGTTTTATGGTACGAATACCATGTTATAACTGTCATTCAATATATATACATGTAGTCAATACCTAACCTAATGTAGAGAAAAAATAAGCTTATTATGTTTAAATTTTGAATATGATATTAATAGGTATTTGTACTTATCCACTATAGGAGCAACAATGTATGTGTACAATGTAAGACAGGTGTAGTCAGTTTACAACACGTCGTTGAAACACGGCATTGCACTCAGGATTTGAAGATTGCGAATAGAGAAAACCAACTGTGGTAATTAACTTTAAAACCCTGAAGCCCTGAACATTGCAATGTCGTCGAAAGTAAGTGCATACCTGTGCTAGTCCTGACAGTTATCTATAGCTACAACTTTATGTTGACTTGTATAACGTAAAGCAACATCAAATTAATTATAATTAGTTAAGATTAAGATGAACCGTTCATAGTATAGATTATATTTTATTTACATTTGCTATTTTTTACAAGTTTATTTATAAAGAAAGTATCATCTATCAATGTATAGTCGACATTATAGTGATAATACAAATAAAGGTTAAATAGCTGAAAATTGATTGAAAAATCTTGCAATGGTGGGATACTAGTCAAGGATGATAGGTGGTCCCTGCTGCCGAATCGTATAATTTCTGCATGGACGCTAATATTTATAACTAATATACCTACATAGTTCAGAAAATTATTGAAAAGTATTTCTTTGAAATGAATTGTTATGTATAGATATAGTAATGACATAGTATTGAAAGAAAAGATAAGCATTGATGAAGTTATTGTGTTAATGATGGTAGAATTAAATTGTGCGAGAATATAAGTGGACTGTATGTACAACAAGTTTTTTATATAGATCCGAGAATGCGAAAACCGACAAGTTGTTTTAAAAGTACTACTAAACTACCTAGATTCAAACTTAGTTCAAGTGACTTACCCTTTGATTAGCGTAAATTCCTTTTATAACATACTCAGATCACTCAGTTCCCTAAAGTATGCTAAACTTACCTGAGATTACCTAGTAAATGTTATAAGAACTAAGGGTTTCGATCTTGAATCCTCCGATAGACGTTTCAATCTTGAAAATTTTTTTTTAACGACACGAGAAATTATCTTTTGCATAGTTTATTTAATAAAATAAAAATATTAAATTCTAAAATTAAAGTCTCACGATTGTGAAATTAAATCTTTTATTCATTAAATATTTTCAAGAGCGACAACGACAAAACTGTTCTGTTTCTGTTTTTAAGAGCAGACACCGACTACCTTTTTTTATCTTTCTACCTCCAATTATAATTATTAATTGCCACATACAAGAATAAAATGTTTTTATGAATTATCGAGAATGTTTCCATGCAATTATTACATCTAAAGTGAATAAAATAGGATACTTAAAACTAACTCCGTAGCTGCTACATCTAAATATAAGATCTAGATATATATTATTGTTGCTAGTGACACATATTTGCCTAGTTACCATAAATGGGAAATTGCCAGTAGGTAAATACATAATTTTAATTATCTATAGGCCAAAGGCGTTCAATATAATTATATCTAAGCAGTTATTTGCCTATTTTAAAACAAATCAAATCAATAACATGATGTTTACCTTGATATAAACATTATTTATAATACTATAAAAGGTACCCATATAAATACTTATATCTATAAGATCGTATATAATATATGTATGTACAGTAGGGATCTAATAAGTAATCACATGTAAGCTATGTTATAACAAATAAAGATATATGTTTTGTTATGTTTAACCTGCGATATTGTGTCAAGTGCAGATGAAATTTGATTTTTATTATTAAATTAGATTAGTTAAATTGGTGATTAGATAACCTTGTATTAGAGGGTACGTAATATTTTATTCGTTAGCTATTCCACTGTGAACACTGCACTCTTATATATAAATGAGTAGTAAACCTTAGTTATATCAAATTAACGTTTTCTATGGTAAGTTGCCCATTTACTTTAAGATTTCCTTGGGTAGTTAATAACCAACGATATCATATTTAGTAACAAGTAATTAGGTATACTTTTTTGGTTTGTGTATTTTTTATAACAATATTGACAACTCTTTTATAATAATAAAATAGTATAATAGGTTAAATAGTATACGACAATACAATTATGCTTCATAAATATCTACAAAAAGCAATTAGAATATGTAACAATGAAGTTCTTACTCGAATTAAGTATAACTCTGTAAGTATAATCTTTTACACTGGTAAAAAAATCGATGAATTATGGATACACTTCACGATACTCTTAGCACTGTTTGAGACACTGTAAAAATCACATTAAAACTAAATGTTTTGTGTAAAACAAAATACTAACTTATCTAATTTATTTATGAGACATAACTTTGAATAATATAGGTACTGACTTGACTCGTTTGTGTTTCAAAATAGACTAACAGGCTGGGGCTCGCTCCACGACCGAGTTATATGAGCCCTAATAAACGAAACCGCATCTATTATTCCACTGGATATAGACCGACAGCTGACGTGGAATTTTAAACAGGCTTTATGACCCAAATTATTATTAGGATACACTGACCCAATTAATTTCGTACGTAGGGCATTGTTATTAATTTTTCTGTTTGTCCTTGTTTTGTAGCATTACCTATATGAATACATTTATTCGAGGAGAAGGGACTACCTACCCTTTTAAGTATTCGTTACACGTTCCTCTCTATAAATAATCATAGTAAATTTCTGTTGAATTTACAAACTTCATCTTTATCTTCTTCTATCTTCAGATTTATCTTCTACTAATATCATTCTAAAGTATATCATTAGCACAAGCGATAGAGCTATTCCATTATTTTTAGGAAAGAAGAAGAAAATAAAAGGAACACAGCACAATACATTAAAGCAAGAGAAGAAACATATGAAGTAAAACCATATGACCTGGTCTGCATTGTAATCATACAATTATCCTTGAAGGTTTGTAAAGTGCATTTTAAAATAAATATACTAGTATACTTAGTTTAATAATTAAAATTAACATTTTTAATTATCAAACTACGTATCAACGTAATTAGGAAGTGACTCAATTATAATGCCGCTGCTTTGACTTGTTTAGCATTGGAATGATGAACTAATATTTAATATCAAATATAAGCCCTAAAGCACCATACACACTAAATATTGAAACACAAGTTCGTTAAAGCCGCCTCAAAATGATGTAACGAAACGTGCAAACATGCCTTGTGTATCTAACTTATTAACGGATCCTCACTATGCGTGACATTTGAAATAATAACGTTCCAACACCACACTTCGAGAGTAACTGAACATCGACTTAATGGTATAGAAGAATTGATGTGATATTCGTATAAAGGATAATTTACTTTTTAAATTGCATTCATTAGATGAGTCGTTCGGCATTTATTGCACCCACAGGCAATTCTATCGGAGTTAACGTTTGACTAATTTGTGAAGTGTTATAGAGGTATCATAAATATAGCCGAATTATAACGGTCTACCAGCTGATCAATGATCGAAAGGGAATCTGGTTTACAGGAACGAAAGATAATAGATATAAATAAATGATATTGACTTTTCGTAAAGTAGAGTTAAGAGGAAAGCCACAAAATTTACACTAATTGTCTGAGCTTTAGTTGTTTGAGGACCAGGCAATTGTAAGATATAACATAAATTTTGTACTAGTCTCTATGCCAGTTACGTTTGCAGGTTCATATTGGAAATTCAATCAGTTATTCACTTAGATATTTACAAATAGATATTATAAAATATGTGTTCGATAAAACTGGACTAGGCCATCATTAGGCCGGTGCAGAAAAATAGCTAGCTCGGGATCTACTTGACATAATATGGTTTTGCATGTTCAATAGAACATTACACCAAGCATATAACTTTACAATTTTTTATAGCAGATATTAATTAAGATTGCTTTAAGGTCATTGCATTAGCTTATAAATAGGTCTTTAAACAAGTTTTACCTTCCATGAAGTGTTCCACAGCACCACTCATCGGCACTAAACAGTACTTGCTTTCACTCCGACATATCAAGATGATTATGCCAGTTATTATGAATCTAGCAAACGCAACGGGGCTCACGTGCTATGCAGCTAAAATCGAAACTTCAACTGGCGGCACAGGCTTGTTCACCTTGAACCCCGTTTTCACTTTTCGCGTTCAAATAAACGCATATTTTATTGTTTTGTCCACTGTTATGCAAATGAGAATCGCCAACAGTAGCTTTTATGGAAGGGTTTCCTAAAAACATCGGAAAAAAATGAAAGTGAAAGGCCAACTGGGAGCATATTGTCGCTGCGCTTCCTTCACGCCATTGTCAAAATAAATATTTATGTTACAGCATGCAAAAGAAGTTTTTACAAGAGCTCCGCTACCGAATTGACTTTGTTATTCAAAACAACCCTTTTGACGGCATTCGGCGAGTGGGCCGTTTGTTTGTTTCTTTGTATTGATAAGATTACTGCTGTTTGATGGAATGAGTGAAATTTGGTGCATTATTATTTATTGTTTCAAATGCGAATAGTTGTTAAGAATTGCATAGTCTAAATAAATCTAATAAACTTAAAAAAAGTGTTCAATTATTTAAAAAAACGATTACACAGCTATTTGTATACACAATAGGAATAAATGCAGACAATTTTTTATCATTTCCTCTACAGCACTATAAAGTATATTCTTAAATAGATACCATAGTCTTTTCATTCTATTTAGGTATATATATACAAGTATTCTTTGTTATTCATGCACTTTGGTATTTACGTTTAAAACTAACTAAACTAGTTCCTGTAAATATTTCGGACCCAAATTATAACTTTATCATATTTAGAACCTATATATATTAATATAGGTTCTAACTATTAACTATTCCATGTATTAACATAAATGTATATATTAATAGTTATATTTGTCGATAGATCTTCCTTTCTATCTAGACTTTATAAAAATTAGAAAATAAAAGAAATTGAACTACTGGCTAGTATAAAAAAAACAAAAGATAAACTCACCACACATCTATTTTGGTTATTCTAAAAATGTGTTAAAAAAGTTTATAATATGATAAGCAGAGATCGAGCGGTCCCCGGTCGATCGGTAGCTGGCGGGTATTAAACTTTACGATGGGGATGTGAGACGTCATAAAACTCGAGATAAATCCAATCGGGGACCGAAGAAAAACAATCCACTTTCGTCGGAATTACGGTCTTTGGCCAAGGTCTGTAGACAATCCTAAGTTGATTATTAAATAGCTTTAAGCATGACGCATGGAACTCACTGCTTGGGAGAGCCATTACATCTTAAAAGATATATTTAAGCACTTCCTATACAGGTTGAAATCCAAGTCATGCAAATTTATTCTTTTAGAGAGTTCTTCCAGCCAGACTAAATATTTTAGACTGAAACATGGCTCTGAAAATGATAAAATGTTTTAACTTTCCCTTAGTAATATATGACGCGTCCAGCTTAATAGCTTGTATTTACTTTAGTATTTTTATTATCTAATAAGCTTTAAATTTTTATCGTTTTGATTCACGTTTTAATTTCACCCTATATAATCTATGTTGTAGGTAGGAAATATTTTTATGTAAACTATCAGTCGTTTTAAGGTAGTCGCCTTGTGAGTTAATAGCTAAATGTTTTGAGAGCATAGCGTGAATTATGTTCAGCAAACATTTGATAATATAGACAAGTCGAAGGCGTTGGCATATTTAAGATTCTTTTCCGGGTTGCTTTAAAAAGTATACATGTACTCTCAACTTGCGATGCGCGAATTTACTAATACTTACCTACTATACGATTGAGCAATTAATTTGAATGTATCAGGAAATCATTCGATTTCGAATTTTCTTCGAAAGTTCTATCGACTACCAATTTTATTTATTTACTATACTGTTTCTACTAATCGCTAAAATCATTCATTCATGTACGAGTCGATACGAACATAGCCGAGTCGTGTCGATCGCTCGAAGGACTTTTTTTGGTCGTCGTCTATGTACTAGTAGTACTGTTCTTAGAGTAAGCCGTGTCGTTCTTTCTCGTGGGTGTCGTAAAAGGCGATTTAAGAAAGGCGGGGGATGGGCAGCAGCGTTCCTCTTAAAACATCTCCAAAACCTAACTGCGGTTACCAATCCGTCTACAAAGTGCGGCAACTACTGCCAAAATATACCAAGGGGGATGTTTATATTCAGTAGCGAACAGTAAAAGGCTGATATGATGATGATGATGATCCTTGAGGTAGTGACAATAGGAGAAGTACATGGTTAGTCGTTTAGATCGAATAACTAATTAGTAAAATAATTTAAACACAAATATTAGTATATTACTAATTTAAAAGTCGAATTATAAAATTAGTACCTAATATTAATTATTTGAATAACAAATTTGCGGACTGCTATTTCAGACATGTATTTATGTAGCTTTACTTTCTTTCCGAGTGAGAGATATCCATCAGACAAATTCCGTTTGGACACGGCTCACCCAGCCTTCCTTAAAGATACCTATGTTCGAGGGTAACATTCATTATAGCGATGTCAGTTTACTAAAGCTGAACTACTCTATTCGGGACTGTAATGGTGAGTGTATTTCTTTTGTTAGTAGACATTATATATACCTACAGAATATAGATAGAAGTGAAAATCACTCACACATTGTATGACGCGCGAGATCAGCTGAAAGGCGCGCTTGCGTCGCTCGCGCCGCTTGCGTCTGGTCAGCAATTAGCGACGCACTTTGCAAACAGCGCCATTCCTGCATCGTACTGTATCCGACTGCATTGAGTACAGATAGTAAACAAAAGACAGAAATAAAATAAAACATATGGTCATTGTTGTAGAATACTGACGGATCTATATATGTAATATTTGTCAGATCCGTCAGTGTTCTACGACTACGACGATATAAATAATTTATTTTACTAATATATAAAATAGGATTTATTTTAGATACTCAGCTAGATATGACATGTAATTATTTCTTGTAATTGTTTATATTAATAATAAGTTTACTACTGTAATCTTTTGGAGGAAACAATAAAGAGCATCTCTCTATCTATCTATACCTATTAAAAAAAACAAATTTGCACTTAAATTGGCTTGAAACTAAAATTAATAAAATCGTCATAGTCGTAGAATACTGACGAATCTGACAAATATTAAATTTATATATCCGTCAGTATTCTACGACTATGACGAAATAATCTACATAAATTTCATAGTACAATTTTTCTATAGAAATATTTATATAATAGTATCTACTGTATTCTGTTGTAAAATCTTTATTGTACATACTTTATATTGGACATATTAAAAGGACTTACACTTTTACAGTTATTTAAAAAACTCATAAGTTTTGTGAATAACTTATGAATTTTCTAAATTTTTACAGACGGAGTGACGACTTC